TGTAGCAATTTTATGCCTCTCTTTCCAGTCTGCATGAGGTCTTGCTAAAATTATTCCCATTCCTCACCTGTTTTCACCCATGTTATATGGTTAATAGTTGTGGCTCACCTTTTTCTGCTCCCAGAGCAGGATGAGGTAAAAAGATTTAAACAAGGTGAAAAGAGATGCCTTAAAAATCTGACTTCTGTGAGTATGCTAAAGGGTAGATCATATTCTTTCCTTAAATTAGAAAATTAAACAGAAACCAATACATGTCAAAGATCAAATAGGCAAGGAATAATCTGCTGCTGCAATTACTACCATCAGGGACTGGATCAGTTGATACTTTCTAAATACAGTTTGACATCTCATAAAAATTACAGCTAAACCAACAGAAATTAATTTCTGTTTTTCACAGGTGTCTCTATCAGGTTATAAACACACCTAACTTATTGGTTGTAATAAATGCATAATGGAAGGATATAGTTTAATATAAGCCATAGACCTTCTGAATCACCTGAGAAAATAAACTGAAATGGAGTATTTCTGTCTGTCAGTAACAGTCCTGAAACATTCTGTGGCTTTTGAAAAATTAGTTTTTTAGTGCCCTTTGACTAAAGTTTTTTATTTTTTTACTTCCCTTATGATCTAGATGAGAATGATCTGTCACGTCACAGACGCATTTCTCCCAGACTATTTAAGAGGAGATCTGAACCATTCAATTGACCTGAACAGTACCGGATAGAACAAAAAAAATTTTTTTTCGTGATTTATTGAGATCACATAACCATTGAATCATTTAGATTAGAGAAGAACTTTAAGATCATCAAGTCCGATAGTTAACCCATCACTGTCAAATGTCTTCCTCAGGGGTCTTCTTGAGTTATCTTTTTTTTCCTTCATTTTTCATTTAAATAAATTACTAGGAATTTATTTCAATGCTTTGGTGCTACTTAGAGATTTATTTTAAATCCTTGACAAAATCCTGATAGAATTTCAGATTGTCATGTACATGGTGCAATATTCATAGAATCATTAAGGTTGGAAAAGACCCACAAGACCATCAACTCCTACCTTTGACTGAACACCACCACATCATTTAACAATAGCACTGAGTGTCATGTCCAGTCATTTCTTGAACACTTCCAGGGATGGTGACTCCACCACTTCCTTGGAAGCCCGTTCCAATACTTAACCAAACATTCAATTCATAAATTTTTCAAGATGTTCAACCTGAATATCCTCTAGCACAGCTTGAGGCCATTTCCCCTGGTTCTGCCACTGGTTGCCCTAGGGAAGAAAACTGCTCCCATGTTGCAGCTTCCTTTCAGGCACTTGTAGAGAGGAATAAGACCCCCCCGAGCCTCCTCTTCTCCAGGTTAAACACCCCCAGCTCCCTCAGTTGCTCTTGTAAGACTTGTGCACCAGACCTTTCCCCAGCACCATTGTCCTTCTCTGGACATGCTCCAGCACCTCAATGTTTTGTGGTGAGGGACCCAGACCTTGACACAGGATTCAAGGAATGGCCTCACCAATGCTGAGTACAGGGGCCAATCCTTGCCCTGGTCCTGCTGCCACACTATTGCTGATCCAGGCCAGGATGCCATTAGCCTTTTTGGCCACCTGGGCACACAAACTGGCTCATGTTCAGCTGCTGTCAAGCAGCACCCCCATATTTTTCTCTGCTTGGCTGATTTCCAGCCACTCTTCCCCCTGCCTGTAGCCCTCCATGGGGTGGCTGTAATCAAAATGCAAGACCTGGCACTCGGCTTTGAATCTCATATCTCCGGTCTTGGCCCATTGATCCAGGATGCAGAGAAAAAAAAAAAATAGTTGAACACAAATGCATGACATAAGTCTCAAGGTTGTATTTTCACTCTAGCATACACAACTTTATTAATTTCAGGCATGCCTTTCCTGTATCAATGGCCCGTTCTAATAATAAACAATAGTAAAAGAATCCAGAACCACAATAATAGTATAATTTTTGTATAAGATTTATAGAGCTCTACTATTCCATATAAAATGACAAAAACTAATGCATATCAAGCATGTAGAAAATACAGAAGTCTAAATGAGGTAGAACAAATGTGTACTTTTGATCTTTATGATACTGTAGCCACAAGAATATACGAGTCACTTGAGTTAAAATAAAATAGACCATGTCTGATCTGCTGGTAATAAAGCTGGACAAAAACTGACATAACAAATAATGAGACAGGTCAAAGCTATGGCACAGGAAACATCTCTTAATATTGTTTAAAACAACACTGGACACATGTAAAATTTAAGTATAGGAAAATACCAGGGATTGTATTTGGTCCTAAGCTTTTGCTCTAGGCTGAAAAACGGCATAGAAAGTCTCAGCACAGCATGATCATTCTTTTGTAATTACTGAATTCAATTTAAATTATTCTCAAAACAAAACATCTTCCCTCAGAAACTTTTATACGTACTTAAATTCTTTCCTATTACTTAAATACACCTTTTTTTTTTCTTCTACAAACCAAAAAATTCTGCATGTACTTTCAAGTCCTGTGTAAAAAAAAAAAAAAAGCAAACCACCATCTATTAAGGGAAAGAGATTTTTTTCCTCCTCTGACTATCTAGTATATTCTCTTTATTTTTTCTTAAAGAGAAAGATGTGCAATCAAAAGTTGTGAAATAACAATTTCCAGAAATCTGGGAAAAAAAAAAAAAAAAAAGCCCCCAAAAAAACAGTCCTTCATTTTAGAAGCAAACTATTATTACTATAACATTGCATTGGCAGAATGGAAATAATGAAGTGGATCTCCCCTAGATGCCTAAGGACATGTAACAGCACCCTTAGAATGGGCTCCCAGGGGACACCAGAGCTGCTGGGGGATGATAAGTTTCTGCTCTCAGAGCAAGGACTAGCAACACTTACTGAGACAGGACACTGCTTGCTATAGAACCCCAGGCTACAGACCTGAACAAACTCTGTATGCTAGTAAACTGACAGAAACAGAGACTTGAAGAAAGGATTTTCATACTAATATAATCTTTATAAGATAATTAGGATCATTAAAATTCAGAAAAGAACCGTTAGAGGGAAAAAAGAACAGCAATAGCTTTAAACGGTTAAATTGTGATAGCTGTTGCAAAGAAAACCCCACATAATGGTGAATACTCATAAAATATGATTATTAATTTCACAAAAAATATAAGGTAACATAAGCCTGAATGGCTGATACCATTTCCCTTCCTTTCCTTGCTTTTTTTCTGTCAATGCCTTGCCCTTGAGAGCAGGAAATCTGCTAATACATGGTGTAACCCTATTTCTATTTTGACATAATTTTTGACCTCAGAGCATGACTCCAACATATTTCAGCTGATTTCAGCTGTGCTATGAAATCAACAATATCAACATTAAGAATAACTTCCCTTGTAAGCAAAGTTCTATGAGTGGATCAACTGGATTAATACAAAAGATCCATTGTTTTTCTACCAGCACAATAATTTAATAGTAAGGAGTGCTTATCTTTTCATTGAGACTGAAATTCATTCTTGTTTAGACTCGTGTCTAAACTTGGCACATTGCACATATGCTATGGAAATTCCTTTTAAGCCCTATGAAGGAATAAGCACTTTAGAGGGACACAGGCAATTCATAAGCCTCTGAAACTCACTTTAGAAACTTTAGGCGTGCACTGTGGCACCAGTGCTGAGATTCATTGAGTTACTGCTACACAGCAGAACATTAGAAACCTCTCAGCCAAGGAAGAGATGGCTTCAAACACCAGAGAAGACATAGATGAGGCATATCATAATTTTTTTTGTGGCAGAGCACACTAAAACCAATTTGTAGAGCCTTAAAGCATGGTCAAAGAAACTTTGCTACCATATGAGGCCTAGTGTTCATTTGGTATAGTTTCAAAGAGTGCTTGAATTTTTTCAAAATATTTTTAAAAGTTTAAATGTGTATTGCTTCAGTTCATGCCACTTCTGGTGATATGTGTGACATTTTATCTATGCCTTTCCTATTCATGTGGTGTTTTAGATCATCAGACATATGGTAATGATTTTAGAAAACGTGTCCAACAGAAACAAAATGTCAACAATCAAAGTTTGCTATTGGTCCACCATAACTATCTGATTTTTAATTTTTTAATTCTTTTTTTAATGAAACACAGTGAAAAAATAGAAGAAAAATCTGAAATTTAAACAACATAATCACATAAAATATCAGATCAAGAAAACAAAATTCCTTTCCAGAAGAACTGTCCTATATATTGCATCATGAAATTAGAGAGGAAAAGGCATCTGCCTAGGCAGTTTAAACAAAGGAGTAAGTGTCACAGAAATAATTAGTCCACAACCCACCTGGGGCTACTGACAAATATGTTACTGACTTATAAAGTATCTTTAAATATCTCTATTGCAATGCAAGGAAGAAGGCAAAGGCCACTGAACTACCTGAGAAGTGTGGGAAACATCATGCTAATTACAGTGTGTTATTAACCATGTATATATGTAAACTAGATATGGTCTATACACTCACAAAACAGAAATGAAGTGGTGTAGTCATAAACAAATAGCCATCAGATAATCATGGAGCATTCTTCATGTGAGAATTACTTGCACTAAGAAAGAAACAATATCTAACTTCAGTTGCAACTCTAAATGATTTTTAAGAAGCACCATCTTTTGGGTTTTTTTCCCTAAAATATTTATCCTAGAAATGAAATCACTTTCAGTATCTGCTAAAAATGTTTAATAAGCTGCAAGATAGGAAAATACAGTATTAAAATAGCAAAAAGTTTTGATTCCTTACAGTTACCTTTTTTTTTTTTTTCCTAAATCTAATTGGGACCAACTGGCCTCATTGCTTCTTATAAACTTAGCAATATATATTCAGAAAAAGGAATAAAAATGAACAGATGTTTCTCCTTAAAGAAGTCAGACAAAGATTTTTCTTACACAATAAATCAGCTGCTAGTGGATTTCCAAGACACTGCTCCAGGCTAACTGTTTAGGTATGGCTTAAAAACCTGGTTTACCTCTGTGTGTATCCAAAACTGGTAAAGCAGATTAAACTGTAAATGAACAGCAAACACTGAAGGGGGAATGAAAAGAGCCATGGGCAAGTTGAACATCTGAAAAATGAGAAAGAAAACATACATTAGATATATAATTCTAAATTAATGGTGATATAATGAAGTACTATGAGGAGCTCAAAGCACTGCACAATATACTTGCTTCTTCTAATACATCTGTAATGCAGACATAGATAGTGATTATTATGCTACTACTTGATGCGCTATAGCAAATGAGACATAAATTGATACAAAAGTGATTTCCCACAAGCCAAACTGAGGAAGTACAAAATCCAACATAAGAATTCATAAATTCTGGTATTAGATGTTTATGCTGTGTACCATAAGCAGCAGACAGCAACACAGACTTGACATTAAGGGTTGCCATATAGGGAAGAATGATCACAGATTAAGCAAGGTGCAAATTCATAACTATAGGTTTTCCATCCAAACTCCCTACATAAGCACTATGAGGGTAAGGCAGCTTACTTGGCTTTCAATGTTAATTGTAATTCTTACCTTTACTTTCTCATGGCATCTCCCATAAAGTCCCAATATATTGCTAAGTCCTAAAAACATGCTAGCATGAAAAAAATATCAGAAAACTGCTTACTTGGGAAATCCTGGTATCTGAGATACAGATGAAGTCTTAGGAATTTCACAATTAATTGCTTAACTGGCTGATCAACAGAATAAAACTTCTAAGACCTTCATATGTTAAAAGTCAGTCTGCTTTCTTCAGAAAAAATAAAATCTTGAAATATCTTATCTTTCCATTTTCCCTTTTACCTGACATTTTGTTATGTCACCTGCATTGAAAACTTAATATTTCTCTAAAAGACAGAGATTTTTCCTAAGCTAAACAGCAGCAGAGGTATCTTCAAAATTTTAAATCTCTTTAGCACTCAGGGAATATCTGTTTGGCCAACAAGAGCTCCCTGTGAAGCACAGGAAAATTAGAAAAATATATTTCCAAATTACTATTGTCCTTTTCAAAAAAAAATCGAATCTTTTAACATCCAAGAATGCAGTCCAATAGCCATGACAAGCCTCCTGGGCCAGGAATTTCTTTAGTGTAGGTCTGAACATAGCATGTAAAACCAGTATTCTCTCAGTCTTAGTCAACAGGGCTGCCCAATAGATTAGAACACTGAGGCTGTGAAACAACTGCACTTCCACCCCAGTGATGTGTCTGATGCGCTCAAGAAAGTCACCGCAGACACATCTCATGTGACAAACCAATGGAGGACTAGGACCTTGCAATATCACCTTAGTCTACTGGCTTCAACACCAGACAATGTCTGAAACACTAGGACAAAACCCTGAAGCCATTGCAGTATCACCTGGCAGGGCTGCGACAGCTGGGATTTCAAAATCTACATTTAAAGGCTTCATGGATCACAGATGCCCCACAAATTACCTGTCGAGCGTTTCTGTTTCTGTCTTGGAAGCTGCTTTCTAAGAAGTAAAGGAATTAAAAGGTAGTAGAGGGGGACTAAGTTTCTGTCTAATGGCATGATAACAGCAGGATTTTTTTTGAAAAGGAATGGAGAGGAAATTGATTTTTAAAAACCCAAAAAAACCAGACCAGATGGTTTTCAGATTATTCATGCAAGTGGTTACAGGATTGAAAGCAGGGTTAAAAAATTATATGCTTTTTCCCTAAAAGTATCAGAAGCAATTTGGTGGTATTTACAGATGACTCAAAGAGGAAAGAAGGATCATCTTCGTATTTATTTCCTAACTTACTTTTCACAAGAGTACTAGGATTTCCCTGCTAAGTGGTGGGATGAAGGAAATTTTATATAAATCTACAGGTAAATTTGAAACTGTCAAAGGAGAATGCATTACTAACTGCATTTTCTTCAGTGTAAGCTTTATTTTGCACAGAAAGGATTTGAAAGATCATCTACAGAACTCGTAGGGAGAAAGGAAAACTTAATCCATACCAAGATTTGACTTTTCCTATTTGTGGTTTCACTGAAACAAGAAGAGCAATCTCAGGAAAAGAAAAAACATCATTAAACAGTTCTTTACTGGAAATGCCAATTCACCAAATCAAAAGATTTCATGGCAATGTACCAGCTTTAACAAATTTGTAGAGGAAAAGCTTGCCTGGCTCCAGAATGGAATTTCTGGTCAAAAGTACAAGAAAACTTTTATCACACTGACAGATCTTTTTTCACTTGTGAATTCAGCAGCAGAGATTGGGAAAGTGCTACAGTAGCTGATGGGAAAAGCACACAGAGTGGGGGCACAGAGACATTTGCATCTGAGGCTGCTGCACTGCAGCTGTTGGCCTCCATTCCAAAGGCACTGCCCCTTTGGAAGGTCCATTGCCTACACTTCCATGTGGGCATCTCTTCCTCTCTCCCTCCCATTTGTAAGTAAGAGGTTATAACCACTTCCACTACAGAAAGGGAGTGCAATGAAACTCCTGAGGTTCAGCAGGGGCACTGAGTTTCCATGCCGGGTCTCTGGGGCCACCTGCTGATGCAGCTGCAGAGGGTCTGCGGGGCACGGGGGGCTGCAGGACAGCTGCTGACAGCAAGTTCGTGTGGGCAGGAACTCCTGTGGGGACTCTGCAGCAGTTAAAGGCAAGGATAAAATAAAAAAAATTCAAAAAAGCCCACCCATTTTTTACAGATCCCAGACCTGGAAGGCTCCTCACTAGACAAGACGTGACTGACTGTACTGAAAACTGTGCTCCCTATTCCAATTCCAGACTTGTATGTAGATGCTTCCACTGCTTTTATACCACTTTATCTAAATGTACTGCCTAAAGAGATCCAATTATTATGGATTTAATATTTGCAATTAAATCTTACCCTTAGAGGAAAGTTGAGAATGGTACTCAAAGCATTAAATCATAGCTTTTCAAAGTGTATGTGCAAATCTCTCACAATTGCACTTTGACTGTTTCATCATTTATATATTAATTTATATAGTATTATCTTGCTTTAGCTTGCTGTCTTCTTCTTAAATATTAATATACTTTTTTTTTGACATCTTTTTCCCACTAAATGGGCCTCAACAGTATCTCTCAGTCTACACAGTAGATTTGCTTCTCCATGGCCCCTCCAGTGGAGAAACAGAAATACTGTGTATGCAAAAAACATGAAGCACTATACATTCGATTCCAAAATCAGGAGTACATCTCACACCACTGATTGTCAAGCATGTTTTTCTATTCTGTTTCATTTCGTATCTTTTCAGTCATGGATTAATATGCTGATTTATTTATCTTACAATGTTGAACTTAAATACAACAGAGCTGGCAGCAGAACAGTCACATAATCCCATGCCATCCACCATAAGCTTCTCAAAAATTGGATGTCAAACTCATTGAACAGTATGGTACACATTCGACAAGATCAGATCACTCTGAGATTAACTAAGGATTTCACTGAGTTTCAGCTTCAAGGCAGATCCATCCATGGTTCTGGACAAAACTGTCAGTCCAAAAAATAGCAGTTCTGTAAGACTTAGCAAGAATTGTAATCATGCACAATAAGGCGTTGCAAAAAGAAAACTGGTGTGTATGTCTGAAAAGTTCAGGGAGGAGGCAAAACAGTATTTACATTAACCATATGTTTTGGCTAATATCAAATACTTCGTGAAAAAAACCTGGCACACAAAAGTACCATGTATTCCTAGTTTCATTTCCCTTTGCACAAAGCATATGAATTTTAAATGCACATATATTGTTTGCCAAGTGATACCAGTGTGGTCCTGAGGATGGTCCTTGGAATCCAAGGTGGCCAGACATCTTGGTCTTCCAAGTATTTTATGCTCTCTGAGCTATCATCTTCAAAATCATGCCATCAGACAAAGATCTCAAAGTTCTCATATGCACACCCGTATGTGTGCACACAGACTTTTTCTCTTTTTTGAATTATTGTTTTTGTTAAGCATTTGCACATATGGTCCCAATGGGTAAATGGGCAAAGGTTAAATCTTTAACACAGCAGTATTTACAGAGGAAGCAGGGTTGTCACAGACATCCCTTCCGCTATTGTTCATTACAGTAATTTCAATTCTAGGTAATCTTGCTAACATCAGATGATCATTTTCTTAATAAAAAAACAACAAACATTTATATAGATGACATTAAGAAAAAGATCTAAGAAATAGTACTGCTTCATGATTTTCAGAAGAAAATTTCCCTGGAACATAGCACTTTAATTTAATGTCATGCACTTAAAACAGTTACAAACTAGAGATTAAGTCCATGTTCAGTTACATAAGCATAAATCCACTTTACTGAAGTTAATGGAGTTATACTGGATTTGCATGGGTGAGCATACTCTCTTGACTTTGAGTCATTTGCTCACAGGCAGGATAGAGGGATTGCCAAAGGACTGTGGGTTTCCTTCACCACCCATATGATTCCTCATAGGAGAATATATAGAATTATATAATTATATTTATATATTTATATACGTGAATACATTTAATATCCCTTTTGAACTCTAATTCTGAAAATTAAATTTTTAAGTTATTCATTTTCCTAACAGACAACCAGACAAACTACAATCAGATTGAATAAAAAAAACCAGTCAAAAGAGAACATGAGGGCTCAACTTAGGAAATCAGCAGTTAGTCTGGGTGCAGAACTAAACCCTAAATATTATATTTATGAATGCATTTGGAAATATACTTTTTAAAATCTGTATATGAATACTGAATATGAACACATCTCACCATTTCAAAATAATTTTATCTGAAGTAACACTATATAAAATACTGCTCTTACCTATAAGAGTACTGATATGACATGAATGAGCAGAGACAAATAAATCCATTTGTGAGTCCAAAGAAAATTTTAATGATGATTTCTCTCCCTGCTCCTTTTAGCTAAACAGACATATTCTGAAACAGCAGAATTATACTCTGCTTTTTTTCTGTATTCATATATGAATAGCTGAATGAAAATTTCCCATTCTACTCAAAAAGTTATGAAAATATAAATCCAGGGTTATATAGTTAGCCTTCTTTAACTTTTTTAACTGTTTTCATGTTTGCTGTACAACATTAGTGATTATATTTTAAAATTTAGGATTATCAGATTCTTCAGTTTCATCTTCTGCGCCTTCAGTGTCAAACATCTTAAAAAAAATATGCTTTTCTTTGAAGGGAAATAAACACTATATTTTAACTTTTATTGAATCTTTTTTATATTAACTTGTTTGTCAAATCTTGTGCAACTTACCCAGGAGGTGTATTTCTGCAGTACAGATTGTCTCAAGGCTGTGAATAAGTTGTAATCTTCTGAACTATGGTGTACTTGGTGCGCAGCCCACAGTATATTAACCTCTGCAAAAGACAAAATTTCTGAGGTTTGTGCTAGAGAAGAAACATTTGTTTCCCTAGGCCTTTTTTATTAAGCTAATCCTCCAATTTACACTTTGATATTTTACATGAACATAAAATGATAAAACCTAATGCTCAAAGCTGAGTTTGTGTAGGCAAGGTTACATGTCTGTCAGCGCACACAGTCAGTAAATTTCATGCTGAAGTAAGGTGAGTCTGTAGCAGGAACTAAAATCATTGCTGGAAGCGCAGAAGGATGTGTGAGATGAGAATTGAACAGCCAGAAAGCCTCATCTGAGTTCTGATAAAATGATTCATGTTATCAGTAGGAGCTCTGTATGGGATTCAGAGGGACAAAGACTGAGGATGCTCGCATGTTTACACTTGATATTCTTAAAGACTAGAAGAGGACACAAAATGTTCCAAAAATCGTGTGCATCAAATTTAAATAGCTTAACCGGTCTCAGCTTTTATGCTTACATTTTTCTGGAATGTGTGAATCTTCAACCCACTTGTGCCACAGACCACAAAACACAGCCACTGCCTGCCCACTAGTGACAAATGGAAAAAATGTTTGCTGGGAAGCCTTGACCCAGCCAAAGGAAAGAAGTGGCTCTATTGTTACAGTTTAAAAAAAAAAAAAAAAAGTTGGAATAAGGGCAAAACCAGTGTCAGCCACGTCCTCCAAAGTCATGTCACTTCTAATGCACTGAAATGAAGAATAGTTATAAATCCTGATTATATTTCAAGACATTTTCTCACTCAAATACAGATCTGGGTAGCCTGTCTGCACTGTATCTGGCCAGTGTGAAGTGGGATGTTAAAAATATTCATGGCCGTCAGTTATAAGGATTACCTTAATTATGGAAAAAAGGAAAAAGCCACATGGTCAATATAGCCCAAATAATGCCTATTTATCATAATCCTTTATTTAAGGTCTCATGTATTTCAAGGGATGAAGCCTCAGCTGATTACAGAAATTAAGAGTTGACTGGCTGTCTGCCAGCTGCACACTCCCATTGCACTGACCTTGTTTCACCAGAGCCATTAGAGAAGTGCCTCTGGCAGATATTAGAATCACATTAAGAAAACTATTTTATAGTGGCTGACTAAAGTCCTCTAATTATTTGCACCCAAGTTTACATGAAACAGTTTAGGTCTGGTGATTAACATGTACTTCCAATGTAAAGTAAGGCAAAAAAAATCCTCTTGATGAATCTGAAGGCACCTTTACTGCTTAGTGGACTACATAGTCTTGCAACAGGAGGTAACAGTTCTTGTATGCTAGCAACTGGGACCTTTAAATCTAATAATTTTTGAAGATTTGGTAATTAACATCACAAAATAATTTTTAATTACCTCTAGGACCTTAAAAATACTTTAAATTGTTGAAATAAATCCATAATTTCAACTATCAAAAACACTAATAAGAATTTTTTCTTCTTTAAATGCATTTGTTCCTGAAGGAACAAGTGTTCACTAATCAATAATTAGGGATGTCTCTCAAAAAAAACCCCAAAAAAGCCCAACCAACCAAACTCATCTCAATGCATCTCTGCCTAATAAACACACTAGGAAATGAATTATTCAGGTGAGCTTCAGTATTCAATAATTTCTGTTTGAAATGTTTCTCAAGACCTCAACAGAAGCTAAATGAGTGAAAAAAGCATCTGAAAAGGTGGAGGTTAAAGACCTGTCTCCTTAGTTGTTTTAAAAGCATTACTTCCTATCACAAACTGTGTGTAACACAAGCCTCCACTCAATGAAGTACAGCTGTGCAAACATGGTACAGTAACTGGATCTTTCTTCTTTCCCTCAGTCATTTTTCAGCATTATGAAAAGTTCAAGGAAGGGAATCTATGATGATTTTTACAGTCTACTTTCATTGTAGTTAAGGTCAAATGGTTTTCAAAATGAATTACTAAAATGGCATTTTATTAGGATTCATTTTTCAGTTAAACTGCCTCTTACATTAACAAGCATGTGGAATAAGGTAACCAAATATTGGTACAATGTTAGTTATTCAGATGTGTGAGCCAGCTTAAATGATCTATCATTTAAAAACACATTACAGGAATACTGGGGAGATAAACAAACAGTTGATGACACCAATGGCACAGACTATGTGAAATTCCTTTGAGAAATAGGCAGACTCAATTGGAAAAACAAATTTATTAAAATTAATCTGAAGAAACTGATAATCAAGAACTTCTTATCTGAAGCAGAAGAATAACATGAACGGGTGAAATAGATAATCCCAAAACTGAGTCTGTAAGCATTAGTATATTAAAAATATTACAACTATAATGCCAAAAATTCATCTCTCAAATCTAAGAAACAGACCAAGCATTCTTCATGGAATAAAGCTGACTGCTCACCAACTGCCCACAAGAGAAATGAAATTGTATGTGTCCACAGAAGACTTGTGGTTTCACTTTTTCATTTCTAATGATGATAACTTGAAAGAAAATGAAAAAATTATTTGAATGAGAATAAAATTAGAAAAGACTCTTCCACACAGACTTTCTCATATGTATTGGTCTCTTAATGAACAATAAAGAAAGCAAGTTTGAGCCAATTCCTACACAGATTAAAAAAAAAAAAAAAGCAGAACACAGGAAGTATTACTGCATTTTATAAAATTATCAAATCCTTCTGTGAAGCCACAGGAAAAAAGTAGGCAATGGAATTGGAGAAGCCACTGAGACAGTGTTCTAATTAAATGTTCGATGTTTCATAATTCAAATGTGATTGTTAAATACAATTTAAGAAATAGATAACTTCAATACACTATACACAAACCCCCTATTTTTGATTGAGGAGAATGAACTTCATGGAATCATAGGGTAATTCAGGTGGAAGAGAATCACCAAAGGTCTCCAGTCCAACCTCCTGCTCACAGTAGGACCAGCTTAAAGTTCCTGAGACTCACTTTGGTCTCGGTAAACCTCTGCATCTGCTGCTATTATGAAGAACTACCAGTCAGTAAAGATAAGGTAGCATTTTCTTTTCAAGTAGTTGTGAAGAAAGTTATACAAGTTATAACCCAGGACAGCAAGGGTCTCCTTTCCTGTTGTGGTTTTCTCCAATTTCCTGTTAATGGATGGAGACATGATGAGCTATTCTCATCTGGAGAACAACAGGGCAACTGCATCTTGGTACTGGAGTATAAAGAATTGGTACTTAAATTAATTGGTACTTAAATTTTTGAATTTATTCCTATTATTATTACTGTCATTACAACCTACTGAATCAATTAATATTTCCATCCATCACCCAATTTGAAGAATCAACATGTAATCCCAGCATACAAAAAAATGAGGCCATGTAGCTAGGTGATGAAGGAAAATTGGTGCTACCCAGAAACTGCTGAATGAAGGACAGGTTATGATTTGGCCTTCAGTTTTCATTCTAGCTCTTTAAGTCTCTTTGACGTCATCTCAGAATCAGACGTGCACTTGCAAAAATCAGTAAGCGACAAGCAGCTGAGAGGTTTGTACCTACAACTTCAAAATAAAAGGAAGATTTGTCATTTAAGCATTAGTTCAATGTATAAATTCTGTTATTAGAAGAAAGAAAATGAGAACCTGAGGTAACCAGCCTGGCTTTGAGGGAACTTACAAGTAGCCTTGTAACAGCAATTAAGCACTGGCTAACAAGAAGCTGGAGTCAGGCTTTTTTTCAGCAGTCCCATTTATCTTCTTTTTTGGATTTTCCAAAATGAAGAATTATTATTGATGTTATTCTTCTTTTGTACTTCTTCTTTCCTTCCTCCTCCTAATTAGTTCATAAAATGTAATGTTTCACACACTTTCAAAATCATATTGGTAAGGCGACCAATGATTTTACTAAGGCTTACTTTTTCTTTAATTTAAAAGTAATTTTTCATTACTAATCAAGTTCCTTTCTATGAATCTCTAAGATCCAATGCCTGAGCCATATTTCATTGCTTCTGAAGTATTTCTTTTTTAGTAGTAAGAAAGGTTCATTGTGCACATAAGATTCCTCTTGCAGAATACAAAATACAGAGGTGTCAAAATGAGACATTTTTGTTGTTCATTTCAGTAATTTGAAGTGATTTCCATAGCCCAAAACACTTTGGTTAACAACAGGAGAAAACATGTATACCAATAAAAACCTATAGTCATTTTAAGGAGTGATTTCAATGAAAACAGTCATTTTATGAAATCTTCAGAATCAGTAAAATGGTACAGATTTGATGACTCTTGAGTAAATTAAAAAAAATAGAAATGAACTTACAATAAAATATGCATACAAGCTTTATTAAACCTGGATCTTAAGTAATATGGAAAAAAAATACAGATTAGTCATGTAAAGTTTCCATTCTCTCACAGTATACACTGACTGTAGCCAGAAGAACAAGTGAAAGTTTCCCTTCAGCTTAAACTTAAACAGAGCCTTCAGTTTTGCTATGCTAACCATCTTTTAGAAGATGGCATGGTCCCAGCTGACCCCAGTATGGAATCTGTTGTTCCTAAAGCAGGTGTAACCCACAGGGCTTCAGAGGCAGGTATTCTGTGCTGCCTTCACCTACAAGCAATGAAAAAGGGATAATCTCCTGGGTCTACTTCTCTCTAGTCAGAATTAGCTGAAACCCCAGGATGACTGAGGAAGGAAAAACAGCCTGGAAGGTAGAAATGTCTGTCATCCATTTTCTATGCATTTCAATCCTACCTAAAAAGATAAAAGAGAGGAAAATACATAGCATTTAAATAATTTATCTGTTAAACTATTACCTTTTCTGATTCACAAAAAACCCCCAACTGATTACTCACTATGTTACTGCCTTCTTCTAACTGATGTGTTCATAGAATATGATGAGTTGCAAGGGGCCCACAAGGATTATCAAATCCAACTCCTGGCCCAGCACAGGACAGCACCAAGGATCACTCCATATGTCTTGAGAGCATTGCTGAAACCCTTCTTGAACGCTGTCAGGTGCTGTGACCACTTTCCTGGGGAGCCTGTTCCACTGCCTGGTC